GAGGAGAAGGGGATGACAGAGGATGAGATGGCTGGATGGCATCACCGACTCGATGGACATGAGTTTGAGTAAACTCTGGGAGTTGGTGATGGACAGGGAGGCCTGGTGTGCTGCGATTCATGGGGTCGCAAAGAGTCAGACACGACTGAGCGACTGAACTTAACTGAACTGATGTATATGTCAATCCCAATCTCCCAATTTATCCCTCCCTCCCCTTACCCTCTGGTAGCCATAAATTTGTTTTCTACCTCTGTAACTCTGTTTCTATTTTGTAGATCAGTTCATTTGTACCCTTTTCTTATATTCCACATATATACAGTATCATATGCTGTTTATCTTTCTTTGTCTAACTTACTTCACTCAGTATAATACTCTCTAGGTCCATGCATGTTGATTAGCATCTTAAATTTGGTATCTCTAAATCTATAGATATGTCATGAAATAATGGCTCCATTCTCCAACAAGAGCTTAGGGATGCATGCTTTCCCTAAGGAACAAGGCGATGCCCATCAAGGTTCTGGAGCATGCAGATACATGATGAGAGATGGCAGGACCTCGACATGAGCCACGACCAGAGCACCACACAGCGCTCCCTTTGGGGTGCTGCATCTGGGTTCAAGGACTGCCAGCTAAGCTGAAGAAGAGCAGAAGCAAAAATGACAGGGTAGATAGGACTTTTCAATTAAACCCAGGGGAGGTTTGGATAGCTCAGCACACTTATAGCTAATGGCAGTGTAAGTTATCCAGATTCCCTGGACATTAGTAAGTTATGCATAGCTCACTTGGTTGCCCAGCTGTTCGGCCCTCAAGGATTAGTGCAGGGGTCACCAGCAGTTAGGGTGGGCCCAGGGCAACCAAGACCACAAGCAATCCATGCTCCTTCCTTCCCTTAGTCTGTGCCTCTATTTTTCTGCATTTAATCCAGTTTTGGCCTCTTAAATGTTTTGATTGTTTTCCATAAGAGTAAATAGACCTATGATTATTTCATCAATTCAAATGCACAGTGAACATTAGAGCAACTCAAGAGCATCAGTCTCAGATAGAAGTGGGGTCATGCACCGGAGCTAACCTCATGACCCACAGAACCACCACAGGGAGGGTCAGGAAGTTAAGACACTAGGCAAATAGACCTCTAATTAACATCAATTATAAGCAATAAACTGATATTTCAGGAAGATACCTCCATAGAGATCATACTGTGGTGACATCATACAGTTCCAGATTTAGTCAGCATCCCTTTCTAAGCAGGCATCTGCTCTCAAACAGTATCAGGAACCATAGAAATTATCAGCCCATTGGCCCAGTAATTTATCCCCAGGGAATTTAATTCAAGCGGCCAACAAAATCACCTAGATTCTTGTTAAAACCAGATTCTGAGGCTCCAATATCACCATTCCAATTCAGTGGACCTGAGAAGTTGCATTTCAGATAAGCTCTCTGATGCTGATGTGCTTTTCTGCCGATATCATTTTAAGAAGTGTTTTGAAGGATTTTCCAGTCTCTTTTCCTTTTGCCCCACATGTTGCCTTCAGAATCTAACGCTGGTAAAATCCTAGGTTCTAAAGATGAGGTGTAAAGTAAATGATGCCAGAAGATGCCAGGCCACAAAAGGGCCTTTATCATATATTGGGCAATAAAATTAAGTCATGAAGTATATAACAAACATGTTGCTGTTTTTGTCACTCAGTCATATCCGACTCTTTGTGACCCCATGGACTGCAGCACACCAGGCTTCCCTGTCCTTCACCATCTCCCAGAGCTTACTCAAACTCATGGCCATTGAGTCAGTGATGCCATCCAACCATCTCATCCTCTGTCATCCCCTTCTCCTCCTGTCTTCAATCTTTCCCAGCATCAGGGTCTTTTCTAATGAGTTGGCTCTGTGCATCAGGTGGCCAAAGTATTGGAGTTTCAACTTCAGTGTCAGTCCTTCCAATGAATATTCAGGATTGATTTCCTTTAGGATTGACTGGTTTGATCTCTTTGCAGTCCAAGGGACTCTCAAGCATCTTCTCCAACACCACAGTTCAAAAGCATCAATTCTTTGGTGCTCAGCCTTCTTTATGGTCCTAAAATCCTATATATTATACTACCCTAAATAGTTAGATAGAAATCCCTGTCTTTCAGAAAACCCTGAGTGCTCCCTGTGTCTTCTTCTTACTGCATATGTGAGAATTATAAAAATGTATTTGATAAAGAAGGAATTTACAAAACAATTGATTTCCAATTTAACAGCTTATGACTGCTCAAACCATAAGACTAGCCACTGACTAACCACCGTGCTTTTTATTATCTATTGCAATTAAGCAACTTAAGAGAAAATTTTAATGATATCATTACATTTGGTGGGTTGCAAACAAAGTTTACATTTGATAGGATATATGCAAAAAGGCACTGTATTATCAATGTATCAAGATATTTGCATCATGTCATTGAAATCAAAGAGGAAATTTAATTCAAGAAAGCAGGGACATTTTGATCTTGCCACACAATGACAGTGTTTGTCCATTATCTGATGAAAGACAGCTACTGCTGTAGAATTTTATTGCCAAATCAGTGGCTTTACTCTAAAAACAAGCACCAGAATTACAGCATTGGAAATACACATTGTATATTCCAATAATTCTGATGCTCAAGCTTGTGTATGAGAAAGAAAATGCTATTTGGCAGCAAGAGGCCACTCTGAAATTTTAGTTTAAAATGTAAGAATTCAGGAAACTGATGTAGATAAACTTAATAGAGAACAACTGAAGAAACAACAATTGCCTGAAAGGGAGGTTTTCATAACTGTGATATTTAACTTCTGGCCTATTTTCAATACACCATACCCTCCCTAAATGCAAGGAGAGCGTTTCCCAAAATACTTTCTGCAAGTTCCATTTTAAGATCTTGAATCTTTAAATCCTAAGGGTTTTCTATATTTATCTCTTACAACTGAAATATGTAAACAAAAAGTTGGACACAACTGAGCACACACACACACACACACACACACACACATTAAAAAAAATACAGATATAAAATATATCCTAAAGGAAAAAAACAAACTGCTTTAAAGGGAAGCTTTCACAGCAGTGGAATTTAACATATGAATTATTTTTAATGTAGAATACTCCTCCTTTATGTAAGAGAGGATCCAGCACAGTGTTTCCCAAAGTATTCTGAAAAGTCCACTACAACGGAAGTTCTAGAAACACAGATTCTCATTCACAGAGTCTAGTAACTCTGGTATATGATAGAAAGTGCCAAGGATGATAAAAACTAAAAAACATGACTTTCACAGAGTTGACACCTTGATTTTGCTTCACTTTCCACCAACCGATCCATCTCCAAGTCATGCTATTTCTACTTAAAGCTGTTATCTCCAATCAGTTTGTGAAAAGACACTATGCGATAATAACCAAAGGATTTATATCATATAGCATATGTTCTCTGATTTCATTAAATTAAAACTCAGTAAGAGAAAGATAACAAGAAAATCTCCAAAGGTTCAGAAATTAAGTAACACACTTCTGTATAAAAAGTGAGTTAAACAAGAAATCTTGGGTAAAATAGGAAAGTGTTTTTATCAGAATAACAATGAAAACATGACACATGCAAAGTTGTGAAATACAGTTAATGTAGTGCTCAGGGGGAAATTTTATAGTCCTGAAAATATTTATGTTTTCACCTCTTGGTTTCTTGGACACCACTCTCTCTTGGTTCTCTTCTAACTCACTGATGCTTCTGTATCCGTTTTCATTGCTAGAATTCCTCTCTTTGAATTCTAGTTGTTAGAATCTCCTAGACTCAGCCTTGGATCTCTTTGCTCCTCTATTTATACTCACCCCTCAATGATCTCACACAATTCCATAACCTTGTTTTATATATTTATTGACAATTCTCACATTTTCCCTTAATCCCTGGCTTTTACCTTGAATTCCTAACTTGCACAGGATCATGTTAGTTCCTAAGGACACTCTCAATCCACAGGCAATGAGTTGAAACCAGAGGCACAAAAAACAGGGCCACCAGAGTTCTAATAAGTGGAAGATGTCATATTTTCCTTTAAAGGAATACTTTATAACATAAATTGTTTAACATTTAGCAACTGTTAGATCTCTGGTTGGAATTTTGAATTTTTTTTTAGGGGTTTTGGAAAAAAAATCAGGCCAAATACAGATTACAAAATCTGAGGCAAAAGATTCTGAAAATGTCAGACCTAATTACATAGTTTTATTGTTTTCAGTTAAGTTCAGTCTCTCAGTCATGTCCGACTCTTGTGACCCCATGGACTGCAGCACACCAGGCCTCCCTGTCCATCACCAACTCCCAGAGTTTACTCAAACTCGTGTCCTTTGAGTTGGTGATGCCATCCAACCATCTCACCCTCTGTCATCCCCTTCTCCTCCTGTCTTCAATCTTTCCCAGCATCAGGGTCTTTTCAAATGAGTCAGCTCTTTGCATCACGTGGCCAAAGTATTGGAGCTTCAGCTTAAAACCTCCTCTCTCTGGCCTGTCAGCACCAGTTCTGCCGCAGCTGCTGGGAGCAGCATTGCTCCGTGCTCATCAAGGACGGTGTGGGTGTGGGTAAGTCCACCGCGGGGTCATAACAGGCTGCCGGGGACTGTTTAGCTTCAGCTCTGCCCCTGCTGGTACTCAGGTTTTCTTGTGAGCCTAACTGAAGTTTTCAAAATCGGAACCATTGGTTTCCAAACATGTCAGTCTGAAAATGGCAAAGTTTACCCTAGTCCTGAGCAAGATCCGAGAATTAAGGCTAATGTTTGGGCGTTTATGTAAATGCTCGTGTGACGCCAAGACTACCTTCTCTTGTCTTTTGGGAAAACTGTCCTTTAAGCTGCCTACCCTGTCTATCTTGATTCTCAAAGTGGCAGCCGTACGTCAGAAACTCCTAGAGGGTTTACTGTGATTTAGGTAAGCACAAATCAAACTCACTCTGTGATGAGTTAAAGGAGTCTTTGTTAGATTATGACTTCATGATATGAAAATCAGCATTATATTAATTATATCTGTAAAAGCTCACTCTGTTGATGGTAATCACATGCACATCACAAAACTAAGTTGTAAGTCAAGAACCCTCTGGGATTTTTTAAGCATTTTTTTTAAATCAGTGCTATTTGTGATATATACTGTTTAATTGGTTTTGGCTTTTTAGTGTTTTTGTTGTTTGGTTGGTTTTGGTTTTCATGGGTTGGTTGGTTTGTTTTTTCTTTTTGTTGTGCTGTGTAACTTATAGGAACTTAGTTCCCTGACCCAGGGCTCTGGCAGTTAGAGTGCAAAGTCTTGACCACTGTACCATCAGGGAATTCCCTGTCATTTAAAAATTTGTAATAATATTTTAGTTGCATCACTATGTAAATATATTGATTTCTCTCTTCTTTGAATAAATTCTGATGCTTCCGGGGTTCCCTGTGTAAAACGTGAATTTGTTGGGTGAACTCAGCAAATACATTATAGGTGTGTCTTCTGTGATACAGTTGTCCATCCGGTTGTCTTTGTTCAACAGGTGTCTCTTGCATGGCTCAGGACTGCCCACTTCGAACACCAGAGGACTTCGTGTTTCCATTGCTGCCCAATGAAGAACTGAGAGATAAATACAGGCGCTACCTCTTCAGGGACTATGTGGAGGTATGCCCAGCCGCAGCTGTGCCTGGTCTTCCTGAGCCCCCTTCTCATCAGATGCTCACCAGTTACTCTACAGAGGAGGCTGCCAGTAGATGCTTTCCATCTGAAGGAAGAGCTGCACAGCTTTTAAAAAGTTTGAAAACTCTAGAGTACTAGTAAATCCCAAGTCTGTTTCTTCCTCACTCTGTATCCTTTGAGCCCTTATAGTCCTTCTCGGAGCCTTGGTTTCTTTCTTGTATAGAATGGTCAGGCACGCCCACTTTGTGAAAGTGAAAGTCACTCAGTCATGTCCGACTCTTTGCAACTCTGTACAGTCCATGGAATTCTCCAGGCCAGAATACTGGAGTGGGTAGCCTTTCCCTTCTCCAGGGGATCTTTCCAACCCAGGGGTCAAACCCAGATCTCCTGCATTGCAGGCAGATTCTTTACCAGCTGAGCCACAAGGGAAGCCGCACACCCCCCTGCCCCGCCCGCCCAATACAGAGTTACTTAAACAAGCTGTTGTATGTAGGGGGATAAACATAAGTCAAGCATATCTCAGGAGTTGCTGTTCTATTCCCTTCATTGTGTGAGTCAGCCCTAAGAAGGGGTGTTGCTTCTTGGGCGATTTGGCAATTTGTTCGAGTTCTCAGAGTGGTCAGTTTTGGAGTCCTTCCCCTCTGTTGGGCTACCTATTCAGGCTTGCTGGTTCCACACAGCATAATTTTGATCTTTGCCTTTTATTCCTAAGCTTATTGGATTGAATGATGGTCTGGGTCGTCTCATGCACAGGCTGCAGGAAAAACAAAAGGCCTTGTTCCTGGTGCTGTTTGCTGCCTTTGGTTTGGGTTGTTGAGCCCCTCAGAGTCTCATGCACAACTGACTGGGCCCTGTTCCTTTCCAACCCTAGTCCCTATGTACTTTCATCTCAGAGACACAATTCTGTATTCCATTCTGTTATCTAAGCTTAGGTCATTCTGGTGAGTTGTTCCCTGGTTTAAGCTAAACATTCAAAGGGCATTTTAAGGACCTGCCTAATGTCTGGTCTTCATGACATCTGTCATGAATTCCTGTAGCCTCTTGCTGGAAGAACAGGAGGCGTTTGAGTACTCAGGGAGGTCTAATTTGGAGGACTAGGGGATGGTCCTAATTTGGAGGACTAATAGGACAACTAGGGGATGTCCTCATTGTTCCCCCCTTGGTATGTTCACAGAGTCACTACCAGCTCCAGCTATGCCCTGGTGCAGACTGCCCCATGGTTATCCGGGTACAGGAGCCCAGAGCTCGCCGAGTACAGTGCAATCGGTGCAACGAGGTCTTCTGGTAAGAGTGAGTGTGGGTGCCGAGCAGCCCTGGCGGGTGCCTTCTCCTCCTCTCAGCATCACTGCTGTGGCTCTTGTGAGGGCAGGGCTGGGAGAGGCAGGGCCTTTGGGCCAGAAGAGCAGCGCTGTTCCACGTGGGCAGATGTTTGATGATACTCGGTCTGGAGACAAGAAGGAGACACAGACTCTTGGAGAATGTGCTGGGGTTTATGTTGCTAAGATTCAGGGCCCAGAGACTGCGTGTCTGTGTGGATGTAGATTTATCTGCACAGAAAATTCACATTGCCGTATATGAAAGCTCCAGCCACCAGCACTTTAATCTTTCTCTCTGTTGGCCATTCTAATTTTATAACACTGCAATTCATAAATGTGGTTTACATCTATCTGGGGTTTACTCTATTCAGTAAACATGATGGAACTAGCTGAAGCATACTGAAGGCTTATCAGCGGAGCCACTCTCTCCTGACCACTTTCCCTTCATTGTCACAGCAACTGCGTGTGATTGGTACTGCTGTACCCCTTACTTATAGGTGAGGAAAGCGAGGTGCAGGTAATGGCAGAGCCTTCGTTTAGGTCCAGACCTGCCCCCTGTTTGCACCTCGCTAGAAGAGTCACAGTGGGGCTTCAGGAAAAGTAGGGAGAAAATGGGGTCTGTGTGCATATGTGCCTGCCTTTCAAGGCATGGTTGAGGGAGTCTGTGACTCACCAAACGTTAAGAACCACTAATGCAGTTGCTCTCCACCCTTTATGTCCCACGTTAGGGCCGTCTTTCCCTGGGACATTTGATAGGCTACCTGCCTGAGAGCCTTTATCCAGAAAGTCATGTTGGCTTGGACGGAAGGGGAATTAAAAACACAGGAGCCTGGCCGGATGAGTGTCAGAGTTTTCCTTTTCTGATTCTAAGTTTCGGTCTCATCAGAGGTAACGTGCCCCTCACAGACTACACAAGTGCCGACAGCGTGCATCCGGTAGGAACCTTGAACTCAGATAAGCCAGGGCTCCCAGGCCTGGATCTCTGCCTTGGGTAGGAGTTGAGTCCTCTTTTCAGAATACACCCCCGAGCCCTTTGAAAATCTGAGTTCTGAATTTGATATCCTGTTAGGAAGGATTGACATCACCTAAGATATTTAAAACAAACGTCTCATTTGGGTTTATTGAGAGAAGTCCCCCAGGACTTCAGAATAATCCTGGGTAAGTCAAGGTCTCGGACGCCGCGAGAGGTGAGTTTTTACCTCTTGGAAAAGCTCTAATTCCAGATCTGTTGGCTTGGACAGAAGGAAAAGGAAAAACACAGGATCTGACCTAATGGTTATCTTTTCTGGTTTTAAGTTTCAAGTGTCGTCAGATGTATCACGCCCCCACAGACTGCGCCACAATCCGGAAATGGCTCACGAAGTGTGCAGACGACTCTGAAACAGCCAACTACATTAGTGCCCACACTAAAGACTGTCCCAAGTGNATCATTCTGTTGTTTTTGAGTTTGCATCCAGTTATTGCATTTTGGACTCTTCTGTTGACTATGACAGCTACTCCATTTCTTCTAAGGAATTCTTATTCTACTTAATTTCAAATAATTTAGTTGACAGTGTCAAAAGATAAGGAGTCTTCTGAGCAATTAAAGTTGAATTAGTCTGTCTGGACAAATGTCATTTTAAAAAGCAAAATACTAGGGAGAAAAGTAGATTTCTCAAAGCAATTTTCTTTCAACCAATGTGAAAAAGTAGCAAACAGAACCAAGTAATAATAATATTTTCTGATGAGGAACAATAATAACTTCCAAAATGATGTATACAAAATAGATCTGTGATGAGTGGTCCACACTTAAGAACAAAGAAGATTTTAGGGGAACAGTTAAATGAAAAGAGTATATAAAGCTCAAATGTATTAAGTATTCAGAGCCTCATAGACAGCAGAGATCCATGGAAGGATGAGAGGAAAACAGAGACCTAGGTAGAGTAAAAATTTTCTTGCAAGAGGATGGAGAAAAGTGTATGATACCCTCCCACATTCTATGTCTGACTGCTTGTTCATACCAGCAGCAAGTATGACAAAGTAGCTTCACAAGTTCCATCTCTTGTTTTGTTAACCAGAGGAAAATATTCTGATGAGCTCGTGTGAGAAACCAAGGATATATTTACACTGCCTCCAGGTGATTAAGCCTGGAACTAACTCCAGTTAGAACTCAAAGAACATAATGTTAGAGGTTGCAGACTTTGAGGGATTGCTAACAACTGCAAGTATAAAGAGGCACAGCAGTAGAAAGAGAACTATTGTGTACTTATCCTAGTATTTTTTTTTGAGTCCTTCAAATGACACCTAAAGTGTCCTTCTTCTTGCAGTGGCAGAGTAAGGCCACTATTAACCTAATCCTCTTGCAAAGTACAAATAGAAAAGTTGGATGAAATTTTTTTATTCTATTGAAAATTTCTATTCTATTTTATTCTATTGAAAGTCACTGGAAATCCCTCTAAATGGAGAAGATTACAAAATCAAAGTAGAAAACCAAGAGAGAATAGTATAGCATTTAAAGATGGTTTTCCCAATTTTCTAATTCCAGAAAGCATCTGAGAGTCTGAGTAGCTGAATGAAGATTTTACAGAGACTCACTGAGAACCCCAGAATTAGTGTAAAGATTAGTTTAAGCAGAAAACATTTGAAACTCAACAGATGAAGAAAGAAGCTTCCTTGGAGCTTCACTTATCTGACTAAAGCAGAAACTTCTCAGAAATGAGGCTCCATAAATTCCCTTGTCAGGATAGGTGTATTTCCAGGAGAGACCAAGAGTAAACCTACCATAAATCTCTCCAAGGAGTTTCATGGCTATGACAGAAAGACCACTTGCACCTGCAAAAACAAACACTGCAAACCTTCTTAGCTTTTGTTTGTTCTCCTAAAAACCCATTTGTCTTCCCTAAAGAAACTATTTGTTCTTTGCAGAGAAGCCTTTCCTCCCAAGTTCCTTTGTCCTACTCGGTTAGGTGTGTAAGTCCCAAATCTAACCACCCACTTGAGTTAGTCATAACCGTGTACTCCTGCATGTATGCACATTACACAAACAAGTAAACTTTTTCCCCTGCTAATCTACTTTTTGTCAATTTAATTTGCAGGCCCACAGGACATTAACATATGAGAGTAGAAGAAAGGTTCCCTCCAAATACTAACTTCAATAAATTAGGGCCAGGAGGGCAAAAGAATAGGCTTAGTAAGTACAACAGATTTTTAATTACTCCGGGGTAAGAATGAACACAGAAATAGACCAGTCCTCACAGGAATGGAAAACCATGTTTGAATCATTCAATCCTGATTGGTGTCATGAACTGGGATTGCTGTTGCCACGACTAACTGAATGCCAGAAGCAAAAATTAATCTTCTCTAGAGTAAGATATCATCACATAGCATCTGTAATTATCTTTACTGAGCTTTCATATACAATGTTTAATACTAATGTTTCTGTAATTATATTTACTGAGTTTTCATACACAAGGTTTGATACTAATGTTTCTGCTCATTCCTTCAGTCATGTCCAACTCTTTGCAACTCCATGGATTGTAGCCTGCCAGGTTCCTCTGTCCATGGGATTTCCCACAGAAGAATACTGGAGTGAGCTGCCATTCCTACTCCAAATGTTTGTATGAGTTTATTTATAAAATGGATACAAAAATGCAACATGATTGAAACCTAAGAGTGGAAAAAAGCAGATAATAGAAACAGACTTGGGAGAGCAGGCAAGGAGAAAACAGGGAGTGATTGTTAACTGATATGAGATTCCTTTGGGAACATGATGAAAATGTCCTAAAATTAGACTATGGTGATAGCTATTCACCACTGTAAATATACTGAAAACTTTTCAATTGTACATTTTAAACAGGTTAATTTTATATTATATAAATTCTATCTCAATAAAGCTCTTTCACAATTCATTCATTAACTAATCAGGGGGAGGATATCATTGTAAGAATTTTGGCTCAAGAGTCTGAAATTTGGGAAACATCAAAAACTGAGATGGAGGAATCGTGGGTGGAGTGGGTCTAGGAAAATGACAATCAGGAGTTCAGCTTTGAATCTACTGAGCTGGAGGTGCCTGTTTTACATCCAGTGTAGATATCAAGTAGAGAATTGAATAGATGAGTATAGAATTTGAAGAGAGATCTGGGCTGGAAATATACACTTTGGAGTTATAATATATAGAGGAAATATAAAACCGTGAGAAAGGTGGTGATCACCATGGAAATAAGTACAGCTAAAGAAGAGACAAGGTAGAGAGTTTAGCACTGGGAAAAAAAGAAAGATGAAAAGAAAGGAAGGGGGAGGGTAGAGGAGAGGAAAGGGAAGAGAAGAACAGTGGAAAAACAATAATGAAGAATGAGAAGGAGGGACTTCCCTGGTGGCTCAGTGGCTAAGACTGCAAGGTCCCCATGCCGGGAACTGGGGTTCTATTCCTGGTCAGGGAACTAGATTCCTGCAGGGAACATGCTGCAATTAAGACTTCGTATGCCGCAACTAAAGCTCCCACATGCTACAATGAAGATCAAAGATTCCACGTGTTGCAACTAAGACCTGTGGCCAAACAAATAAATTTTTTTAATAGAGAGAACATTGCATCTTTAAGAAATAATGAAAGAAAAGAAAAAAGAGAAGGAGCAACCAGTGAGTGTTCAGTGTCTTGGTAGCCAAGAAAGTTCATCATGCAGGAAGGAATAATCAACAGACCAACCAAAAAGATGAGGACTGACAATGCTGGACTTAACAATATGGTGGCCATTAATGAACAAAAAAAAAAATGATTTTTGTGAACAGCTAAAAGAGCTTTTGAACTGTGGTGCTGGAGAAGACTCTTAAGAGTCCCTAGGACTGCAGAGAGATCCAATCAGTCCATCATAAAAGAGAGCAGCCCTGGGTGTTCATTGGAAGGACTGATGTTGAAGCTGAAACTCCAATACTTTGGCCACCTGATGCGAAAAGCCTACTCATTTGAAAAGACCCTGATGCTGGGAAAGATTGAGGGCAGGAGGAGAAGGGGATGACAGAGGATGAGTTGGTTGGATGGCATCACCAACTCANTATTAAAAAGCAGAGACATTACTTTGCCAACAAAGGTCCATCTAGTCAAGGCTATGGTTTTTCCAGTAGTCATGTATGGATGTGAGTGTTGGACTATAAAGAAAGCCGAGCGCCGAGGAATTGATGCTTTTGAACTGTGGTGTTGGAGAAGACTCTTGAGAGTCCCTTGGACAGCAAGGAGATCCAACCAGTCCATCCTAAAGTGAATCAGTCCAAAATATTCATTGGAAGGACTGACACTGAAGCTGAAACTGCAATACTTTGGCCACCTGATGCGAAGAGCTGACTCATTTGAAAAGACCCAGATGCTGGGAAAGATTGAAGGTGGGAGGAGAAGAGGATGACAGAGGATGAGATGGTTGGATGGCATCACCGACTCAAAGGACATGAGTTTGAGTAAACTCTGGGAGTTGGTGATGGGCAGGGATGCAGCCTGGCATGTTGCAGTCCATGAGGTCGCAAAGAGTCAGACATGACTGAGTGACTGAACTGAAATGAACTGAAGAGAATTAACAAGCAAGATTGATTATTTTAACAGTTAAATTTAACTATTTTTAAAGAACTAGCAAATTCTACCACTGAAAAAATACATAAATGAAGTTAAGGGCTCAGTGGGTGTGTTTTTAAGGTTAGTTCAAATATAAGGGTTCCATTTCTGTGAATAGCCAAAAATATTCCCTGATACCAAGCATTTCAGAAATAACAACTCTAGATTAATTATAAAACAACTAGTTAAAGGCCCTGGAAAGAGACCAAGAGCAGGCAGTTTCTGAATGGGAGTCAGCCAGAAGGGCCTGGCACTGAGGGTTCTCTCATTTTACAATTTCTAGCAGAAGGAGAGGTATCAGTCAGATCCCTGCAGAAGAGCTAAAACTCCAATTAAAAAAAAAAAACTCACCATCTTTCCTGCATGAGGAGTCAGAGCAAAGAATTCAAAGCAGCCACAGAAGCCATGAAGTGAGGAGGGGATCACAGACAGGAGTGGAGAGGGCCCCACATCCTCTTTTAAGGTTCTACATTCTCCCGGTTATCAGCATGCGTTCTTAAACTTAGAAATTCCAAACGTGAATGTGCTAGCCTCAGTGGGCTAGAGACACCTGTAGATTGTTTTGGGCTCAGACAGGAGCCCTGAGCAGAAGCAGTAGGGGTGCCGAACAGAGAGAAACAGGCCGCCCTGTCTTTGTTGCCATTGGGAGGAAAGAAAGAGGACCACTAGGGAATCCTCAGGGTCTGTGCAGCAGTGAGCATCCCAAAGGAGGTCCCCAGCACCTCTCCCTCAAGTCTTATAGTACTCCGTCTCCAACCGCTTCCCCATCTCTCTTTTGCCCCAGATTTGGAGACTTGCCTTCATGGAGTAAAAGGACTCCCATTCTCGTTTCAGGGAAGAATGAATGGTGCTGTTATCCACTAAAATGAAGCCTGGATTGTTTGATATTGTCAGTTTGGGTTTGCAAAATGTACTGCTTGCCATTGTCTTTTCTCCTCCCATAAATATATTAATGTTCCCACTTTTGTTAAATTATATATATATGTATATATATAATAAATAAATAAATAATATAAATATATTTATTTCTTTTATAAATACAAATATTTATAAAAATTTTCCACACCAAACCATGGTCTGACTCTCATAAGAGTTCATAGAAATAAATGATGACCACATGCTTCATACCTATTAACTCAGTTCATGTTCATAACAAAGCTGTGACAGAAGCATTATTCTTATCTTCAGGTTACATGTGACAGAACTGGGGCATAGAGAGATTAAGCAATTTATACGAGTTCAAATTATTACAAATCATTAGCAAGTAGGTAGTCTGGATTCGCACCTGGGATCCAGAATCCTTGTTCTTAATCGCTGTGCTCAGTCGCTTAGTCGTGTCTGACTCTGCAACCCAAGGACTGTAGCCCACCAGCTCCTCTGTCCATGGACTTCTCCGGGCAAAAATACTGGAGTGGATACCATTTCCTTCTCCAGGGGATCCTCCCCACCCAGAGATTGAACCTGGTCTCCTGCATTGCAGAAGGATTCTTTACCATCTAAGCCACCAGGGAAGCCCTCTTAATCAATACACATGCAGCTTTTCATGGGCTCACAAGATCCTTCATCAGAAACGTAAAGTGCAAGAGTACATTTTCATTCCAATGGGCATTGAAAGAGTTATAGATTTTTTTTTTTCATTTTTCACAATTTTTCCCACTGAACAATACCTGCATTTTGTATAATCCTATGCTGGTTAGAAAGCTAAAAAAGAGGTGAGAGACACATAGAAAGGACTAGAATAA